CACATATAATGAGTTAAAAAGTCTAGCAGGTCACCAAAACCTATAACTAAATTCAAAGCATGGTAAATGAGCAATATGCATGTCAACAATTAAATCATAACACTTACATTCATATGATCATTGAATCAATGCATAAATAATAAAATTCATATACAATATTAATAGAATATATAAACAGTAAAATACTGCAGTACGAAAGCCAGTAAAGCAGTAAACTAGTACGAGTGTCAAATCTATAAAATAATCGTCGTATCTATAATACCAATCAGTAAAGAAATCGGATAAAGCATCAAATCAAAGCATCAGTAAAGTCTATTGAAATCAAATCAATGTAGTAAAATCATATAATAATATGTATATAATATACAATCATTCTATATCAGTATCAAATCAGTATTTTATATATTCAGTATGTGACATGCTTATTGTACAGTGAATTAATAGTATCAATATCTATATCAGTAATAATAATAATATAATGACAAAAGTAGTAGAATAATGCAATAATAGTAAATTCATATAGTAACAATAAATTCGTACAATAATAAGAACAATGTCTCAAAAATATGAATTTTTATAGTCACACTAAACAAGTAAGAAGTCCTTGTTATCATGGTATTTTTTAGTGCTAGTATCAGTATTAGTAAATCGTTGGCTTGGTAAATAGAGTCGTCACTTTTTGTCGTCAGCATAGTAATAATCTCCTTATAACTCTCAACTAGTATATCACGTAAATTAATAGAGGATAATACCAAACTATAGTATCTAAAGGAAAGTCTGTCGGTTCATCATCATGTACGGGTCAATCAGTCTCCAACCAACAAGTTAACTAGTATTCACTTGTTTGTTACACATATGCACATTATTATTATAATATTATAACAGTAATAGCGATTAGCTATTACTCAAGCATATATTCGCATCCATTTTTAATGCATTACAGTAAATCATGTATAGTTGAGCTTAATTAAGAAGATGTCAAAATGTCATAACGGTAGACAACAAATAATCATATTAGAAAAAAATGTACATTTTAAAAAAATTACCAAATTATCAGGGATTATGTAAAATGATGTTTTAATACTTTTATTGTACTACATTGCTATTTTTAGACATCAAAGAAATTTCTATGTATACAAAAATAGCTATATTTTCAAAATCACCCCGTAATAAATCTCAAATAAACACTCAAAATATTCATAATCATAATCTCTATAATATAAAAAAAAAGTACACGGTGAAAGTTTTGTTAATACAAATTATTTATATTTTTCGGTGATGGAAACAAAAATTTGATCGAAAAAATACTAAAATCATAAAATCTTTGAAATTAGAAATAAGGTAACGGTTCCTTATAATGAGACGAGCAGATCTCCCAACATGCCCGACTGACAAAAATCGCTCCACGACCTCCAAATATATATTTCATTTTTCTCTCTCTTACCTTTTCTCTCTTACTTTACTCTTTCCATTCTATGTTAAACATTTGCTTAGGGAGAATGATAAGGACTTAAAATTGTTGAATAATGCTTTTAGATATTTTTATATTATATAATGAATTTAATTAATTTCTTTTAGTATATAATTCAAATAAATCATTTTAGGACTTCAAAAATTATTAAAAAATATCCATAAAATAAGTCATTTTATTTAAAAAATATCTGTGAAATCAATTTGCAAAACGGACACCTAAAGATCTTGAAATCCTCACTTGTACCGACATATAACAATTTCTTAAGAATTTTCGACAGTGCCCAAAAATTACGAAAAAATTCATATAAGTAAAATATTATAATCAAAATATTGGCAAAGACAGTTTACAATTTGGAGTTATAATGACTCCAAAAAAAATTGGTAAAGTCAAAATACGTGTTATTACACCTCCTGTCATCGTCTTTACTTCAAACGGCGAGTTATCAAGACTTTCGATCCAACGATCCCTCTCCTCGTCGTTGTTCTGAACTGCGAGCTTCGTGACTTGTGACGTGAATTTTCAAACCTTGGCAAAGTCAAAGTATTGTTTATTTATAAAATAACATCTAAAATAATTTATGCTTTAAATTTCTTTTAAAATTTTTAATTAAAAAAAGACTTAAAAATATATTCCTTTGGGCATATAAATCTATAGTCATACTTATAAGGCTTGAATTTTCTTGCAAAAAAATAGTCTAAAATTATCAATAATTAACATAAATGCATATGAGATATTGATTTACTCATTTTTATTTTGAGTCACTAATCTTTTCTTTTCTTTTCTTTTAAAAGTAATTGTCCTATAAATATAGAACCATGAATTGAGATGAAAAAAAAATCTCCATGCTATTTTGAAGCTCTATTTTTTTTAATAAAAATGAATTGTAGTAAAGTGTGACATCAAATAATAGAAATATAAAGTTTGAGGTGAGAACTAAGTCAATAAAAAAACCATACATGAGATGCCTAGCAAAGGTGCATCATTGAAGGACAGTGACAACCCCAATTGCAAATTGATTTTGACTAATTTTATGGCTTCTATCACTTCTCTACACTATGTAGTTGGATTCTCCCTCTTTCTCTCTCCCCATAAGCTCATTCTCATGATGTTTTCCACTTAGAGACTTTATTAATTTGATTTTAGGGTCATTTTCTCTTTTTCTTGAATATCTAGTACTACCTTCTTGAATAATTGAATTGATATGTTATTTTAGTCAATGGTGCAATCGAGAGTGAAACTAGAAAGAGTTCATGTAGCCAATTCCCCACCATGGATTTTTTTTTTTTTTTTTGAATAGAAACACTATCGTTATCAAGTCTCAGTTCCTGAATGAGAATAGTAAAGGATTTTGTTAAGTGGTTAGCAGGCAATGTAAATATTTTTGAATAATCATGATATGAATCAAAATAATATAATAAGTATTTTAACTATTTTGTCCACCGTCAATAAATACAATTGCACATCTTAGAATTTTTTTTTTTCAGGGCGCCCTCCTCTAATAAATGCATTTGTCCTAAATTCTAAGATTTTTTTTTTTCACCCTTTAGATTATGCATAAGGGTATCAAAATTTGATACGATCCGAAGCCCGCCCTGAAAAATTATGAGTTTGGGTCAACCTGTTTGCCATATGGGTTGGATTCAGGTTCGATAATCCGACACGATCATAAATCTGGTGGGGTCTGGATTGACCAGAAAACCTGAAAACATCCAGAATGACCCGATTTACACACCAAATGCTGATGGAATGACCCATGCGAGTGTTGTCGTGCCCTCGGCTTGTGAACGAAATGACCCATGCCTCGTACTCGAAACTCCAACTGACCCGCACACTTGCGGGAGTGCCGAACTCCAGCAGACCCGTTGTCGACGCCAAACTCTTCTAGATATTATTGTTGCCAGTTCGCCCTGACGGCCATACCGCGGTAGTCGTCCCCTGCCTGCAACCTTTTTTTCGCCTGCCTGCAACCTTAGTGCCTCACAACTCAACCGACAAGCGCTCAAGTGCTCGACCTCACTGCTCACCCCGTCGCCTGCCGTTGCACACTCGAACTCGCCTGTTTTTTGAATCAAAACGGGTTCGCAAGTAGGGTTAGGTCAACCCAGTAACCTACGGGGGTCGGGTTCGGGTTGACCAGTTTAGACCCATGTCAACTCGGGTTCAACCCGAACCTGCCCCATTTTGACGCCCTTAATTATGCACACCTCCACCCTTCAAAAAAAAAAAAAAGAGTGGTTCTATCTCTGTGTAACATATACATTGAGATTTATTAATTTAAATATTATTTTATTCAAATACTCCAAACATTCTATAGTGAACTAATTTAATTCTTATTTAATTATTTTTTTTATTTTCCTTATTTCTCTTAATCATGAAAATAAAAAAATGGTCAGGACAACATCAATATGACATTATTTATAGATAATCTCAATTTTGGCCACTGATATTTTCAATTAATTCCAACTATTGAAAATATAATAAACAAAACACTAAATTAATATTTACCTAATATAGCCCCAAATAATTTTGTAATTATTTATGCTTGTTAGAACCCCTATGTGATCTACCACCATATAAGAGGCAGCAAGTTTATTACCATTATATGTAAGGATTTGATCAAATGAAATATTCTAAAATATATAAAATTATTAAATTTATATTACACTAATTTTAAAACAATTTAAATATTTTTTTTTTTTAATATAATTTTTATTTAAAGGAGTTTAAGAAATAATCAGCATTGATTGTTGTCTTTTTTTAATGATTTTTATTTTCTTAATTATGAAATATTTTATTATACAAATATCAAATGACAACTCACAGTAGCTGTCAAGGAGCATAGTTAAATTTAATTGAAATGGTCAATTTAGCGATAACGACCATTTAAATTTAGATTTTGCTAAAAAGTTCAGTGGATTAAAATTTACTGGTTTGGAAGAAGTCAAGAATGAAGGAATCAAAAGAACTCTGTTAATGACAGAAGTTTATTAAGGAAATCCTTATGGGTTTACTCTATTATTGAGTCAATGGTGATCTTAGCATGGATTTGGCTCAAATAATTCAATTTAATTTGAATTTGATTTGAATTTGAGTTAAATTTAGCTTAATTTAGCTCTAAATAACATATAATATTAGAGAGAGAAGTCTTAGATGGTTTGGTCACATAAAATATCAGCTTTTCGACGACCCGGCTACGAAAGTAGATGTATTTGATCTAGCATATATTAAAAAGGTAGAGATATACCTAAAAAGACTTGATTAGAAAGTATTAAAGTGACTCCTTATTATTAGTTTTAAGTGAGAGTTTGACTCTTAATAGGACACAACAGAGTAAAAGGATTCACATAGCCAGCCTCACATAGTGGAATAAAGACTTGATCTTATTGTTATTGTTCAAAATTAGATTAATTGGGGTAAAATAAAAAAATAATAAATAATAAATAAAAAAAAGATAAATTTGGGTCAAAATTTTAATTTAATTTTCAATTGTTTCACTTAAAAATAATATAAATTGCACAAATGCATATATCCATTAATACAAATCTTAATATGTCATTAATTTGAAAATAAGACAGATTAAAGGACAAAATGCCACCACTCTTTTAAAAGTTCATAGTGAATGATCTCCACTATGTATACTGTAAAAGTTTGGCAATATTTAGCAATATTCCACAAATCATAGGGAAGTTACCAGTAATCATTGCAGGAGCAAGAGCCATCTTTAAAGTGATGGAATCTGCTTCTATCTCTCACAACAATTTCCCTTTCATAAACCTTGGAGATCAGCTTGGTTGCCAAGTGACAATCCCTGCAAACTCTCAGATTCTTCGAGACTCTGATTGCAGCTCGCGGCGGTGATCCGATAAGCCCAAAGGCAATGGCTAACTTCTCGCTGTGATGTGAGACAGACACTTCTTTCTCATCCTCTTCTGCATCTAATCTTGCCTCTGCTATGTCAGGCAGATAACCAGCTTCCTTAATTCTTATCATCATTTCATCAACTTTATCATATATCTCCATTGATAGAGGATGTGCGCTATCTTCTGCAAAGAACTCATGCATCACACCATCCACTTCAATGGAGCTGCAACCAGGAGTTTTCTTGATGCCTTTCTCCTTCATTTGATTTCTTAATGTAAATGCATCATCTAATCGACCAGCCGATGCATAGATGTTGGAAAGGAGTATGTAATCCCCACTGTGCCTTGGCTCCAGCTTCACCAATTGCTTCAAAGATTCCTCTCCAATCTCCACATTCTTATGGATCTTACATGAAGCTAACAAGGTCCTCCATATGATAGCATTGGGCTTTATAGGCATTTCAATCACAAAATTATATGCTTCTTGTATCATACCAGATCGCCCGAAGATATCGACCATGATACCGTAATGTTCGATCCTAGGTTCGATGTCATAAATGCAGCTCATTCTGTGGAAGAAGTGCTTTCCTTCATCAACTAGTCCTGCATGACTGCAAGCAGAGAGCACTGCTATGAAGGTTAGGTAATTTGGTTGGAAATCTGCTTCTAGCATCAAAGAGAAGAACCTCAATGCCTCTTCTCCTTGCCCATTGCTAGCTAAACCCTGGATAATTACAGTCCACGACCACGCATTCTTCTGCGGTATCTTAGCAAAGGTTTCCAAAGCATTTAGGATAAATCCACATTTGGCATAAAAATCCACAAGTGCAGTGCCCAGATTTACAGTCATCTTCAACTGCTTTCTCCTAACATAGGAATGCACCCATTTGCCTGTCTCAAGAGCTCCAAGAACAGCACAAGAAGATAGAACACTCACCATTGTCACTTCATTGGGTTCCACTCCCGCTCTCTGCATATCATGGAAGAGCTCGAGAGCTTCCCTGCATCTATTCCACTGGCTATAACCGGAAATCATCGCACTCCAAGCAACGACATCTCGGAATACCATTTCATCGAACAAATTCCTAGCTTTATCTACCTGGCCACACTTTGCATACATGTCAACAAGTGAAGTAACTAGATTTTGATTACTCTTAAGCCCATTTTCTTGTACATAACCCTCAATCCACTGCCCCAAATCCAAGATCCCAAGCCTTCCGCAAGCAGTTAAAACCGTAATCAATGTGACCTCGTCAAACTCTGCTCCCAACATCAGCATGTCACGAAACAAAGCTACAAGTTCTTGCCAGCTCTCAACCTTGAAATACCCTGCAAACATGGCATTCCATGTCACAATTCCTCTTTCAGGCATTTTATCAAACAGGTTGCGACCACTCCAAACATCTCCACAGCTCGCATACATATGTATCAAGCTATTGAGAACAAACTCTTCACATCCGAGCCCACACTTGACAGCATAGGCATGCACCTGCTTCCCAATTTCAAGTGAGTTCAAGCGGGAACAAGCCTTGAGGATGCAGGAGAAGGTGTGCTTGTCAGGATTGATGGAGGCAGCGAGCATGCGGAGGAAAAGATATACGGCATTGGTAGGGGAGCGTGTGAGGATGAAGGCGCGGATCATGATGTTGAAAGCCTCGGTGTGGGGTTGGGGCATTTCGTCGAACAGCTTGAGGGCGTAATCCATGGCGCTGGGGATGAGAAGAGCGGAGCATTCGAGTAGGTTCTCGGCGGTAGAGTGGTGGAGGGAAGAACCAGTTTTGATGATGTGGGCATGAACTTGGCGGAGGTCGCGAACGCTCTTGCATTGCTGGAGAAGAAGGGTTCGGGGATTGGAGGGAAATTGGGGGGGCAGTGGGGGAATTTTGTCGGGAATTATAGCGGGTGCAACGGTCATATTATTATTTTAAATTTTCCGCAATCGGCTCTCGTGGTCCAAAGAGGCCGTAGGACATTAAAAAAAAGGCAATAATCGGTTGAACTAAAGCAAGTAAGTTAAAGCGTTCGATCGCACAGCTGGTTGGAAATAAAAAATAAAAAATTAGATCAGCTAGTTTGAGGCGGTGGCATGTCCACCGTCTTCATCGTCCTTCATCATCATAGAGGGGGTTGTTGAACCAATGTCCCCCTTCAATGCTCTCATCGTAAGCTACTATGGTAATATCTGTCGTTCTAAGGTGCTTTCCTTCAAGAAATTATTCTATGTGGAGGCCGGACACAACTCTACGTCCGAAGACGAATCAGGCGCAGCCACAATAGCGTTCATAAGAATGTTTATGTATGACATATTCCCGTAGCTTATATTTTCATTTGAAGTTCTCATAAACTGCCTCTTTCTATTCCAAATTCAACTTTCCTCTAACTTTAAAAGAAGAATCATTTTGAGTTCACTCAATCAACACCACGACCTTCATGTCCTACGGAGCCCATTGTTTTTTAAGTTTTGTCATGTCTACCTTCATAAGGATCATTCTCCTAATTCTCCTCAATGATAGCAACAATTTTTATACCGCTTCATTCATCACCTTTATGTCCTGGCCCATCAATTCAAAAGTTAGAATCAAGAAAGTCATCATCAACTATTATTCTTGACAGCCTCCATAACTTAGCATTTGTCGCTTTGCCCACCTCATTAAGGTAATGCTATATTTGCCTCCATATGGAGAACCGTCCCAACCATCTTTTGTGACATCCATAATCTTTTTAAGTGTTATCTCTACCATCAGCATTTAAGGTCATGTCTCATATTTACCTCTAAAAGAAGAATTGTTCTGAGCATAACGAATGGCTTCACAAGCCTTTAAGAACTGGAGCATTTTCCTCATCCTTTTTATCTCTATTTATCTACCGTCTTCTTATCGAGAGATTATTCTGTGCGGATGCCGAATTGCCGGAGATTAATCAGAATGCGCCACGTCAATGATACCAAGCGGTACTGAGCTTAGCCGAGCCGGGTACCGAGCACGGGGTGACATGGCGCATTATGATTGGTATCTGAATGACATGGCGTCCGCATAGAATAATTTCACATTCTTATCATGCTATCTTTGCCACCCTCGGGATGATTGTCCCAACACTCAATTTTATTATGTCATCAGTATTAAGGATAGAAACATCAACCTACTTCCATTTACTTTATGTTGGTGCCCTCTCTAAGTTTAGAAAAAGCGAGACTTCTTGCAACTCATAGATTTTAGTTTTGAAAATTACTTCAAATAGGCTAACCATATAATTTCACCTTATTTATGTTGTTATTAATGAGTAGTTAAGACAAATTAACTTCTCTGACTATTGATGCAATAGAAAGTCAACAATCCCATATTATTTGACATGATAGCAATATTTAAATTTTGCATGAATATTGTGGGCATGCCAATTAAGGTGTATTTGATTTAATGATTTTTTTAAAATAATAATCTTATCAAAATAAAGATATTATTCAAATAAAAGTATTATTTTTTTTAATACTGAAAATTTTATTTAATATTCTCTTGCATAAAATACCTATTTTTATTTTCAAACATATCACACATTTTTTCTATATTTATATAGCTAACATCTAAGTTTTCATAGTTACTTATCCAACATTTTATTATCTTGATATAATTATATTAAAAATATTCTGTAAAATGAATATATTTACAAATTTTTATATTAAAAATGTTAATGCTTAGTAAATTAAAACTATTCCGTAAAAATCAATAGATTTTACTCAAATCAGCTCAAAATCAAATATTGTTGATCCGATTCAAAATTTAACCCGAATTGAAATCATAATCTTGAGTCTTATTCTACTTAGACTTCGTTAGGGACAACTTTTTTACTGCTTTTTAAACAAATTTTTTGTATAAAAATTAAAAAAATTTATACTAAAAAGCTGCTTTAAGAAGCAGTAAGAAAGCCATTCAAAAAAAAACATTCCAAATGAAGCCTTATTTGAACCGGAACTCAGTCTTATATCGCCCTTAATTTTTTTTTTTTAAATATTTATATATTCAAGACCAAATGAGGCTCCAAGCCTAAAGGTACTTCTCATTTCTACTCATACTTATTCAAATTTATGCAAATGATAGAGATTTCAAATATGTACTTATTAATTAAAATATTTTTAATATGAAATAAATAAAGACAAAATTTTCGCTACATAAATTGCCAAAAAAAAAAAAAAAATCTGTAAAATTTAGAATTTCAGTCCACAAACTATTCCTTGAGCTGAATGGATAGGGTCCTTCGCTATCCACTCAACCAAACCAATCTCTATCTAACTACAAGAGAATATCCAATGAAATTTGATAGGATTTATACGATCCCAACAATCTAACTCTTCGCTTTCACTCATTGAAATTTATGTTCATATATTATAAGTCTTTTTCATTAAAAAAATATTAAAAATAATGAGCTAAGAGGGTCAGTGTATTGAGTGGATAACGGATTGTCAGGTTGACCGGCAACCCGCCGGGTCAACCCGACCCGACCCGTTTTATCAAACGGGTTGAATCTGCGAATCCGAACCCGACCCATTTATAAAACGGATCAGGTGCAACCCGGATTTTCCGGGTCGGGTTTTCAGGTCGGGTCAAAAGTTGACACCCCTACCTGCGATGAGAACTAGCCTTATGGTTATGGGGACCTAACTCAGCAAGAAATCAAAGTGGACTCGCCTCCCACAACAACAATCAAGGGTTTGTGGATCATCCAACTTGGCACTTCCCCCACCCCCGAAGCGACTCACCAGTATTTGTGGTGGAATGTTATTAGCCAAACTCATCATCTCAGCTGCAGGAAGTGATTTTTTTCAAAAGAATTCTAGCTCACCTCATCATAGTCAATGGATCGTGGAGGTTAGTATCCCTGCAAACTGAACACACTGTCATTTACAGCCTCCTCAGCTCAACCCTCACCCGAAGCCTTGTTTACTCCTACTCACCTATACATACTCAACACTAAAGAACTAGTTATGAGGTAGACTAATAAAAGTAAGAGATGAAATCATCCATCGAGTTTTCCTGTGTGTGACAATGAATTTAAGATAATATGTACCAAGATTCATTAATAATTGTACCTTTTATTTCTTTATTGATGCAAACTTCTCTATAAAAGGTGAAGAGAAGTGTTTTAGATCTTTTGGCATTTGATATAGAGACTTGAGTTATTAGATTGTTTTCTACATATTTTTTTCTCTTTCTCTATAGTCTCACATATATCAAATACGAACAAACTTGAATCTAGGGATGCAAACGAGTCAAGTCGACTTGCGAGTCTACTTGAGCTAGACTCTATAACAAGCTCACGAGCCAAGCTTATCAAATTTCGAGCTCAAACTCAAGCAGATTTACAAGTTCAATGGATAATCGAGCTAGAGTTCGATTGAGTTGATGCTCAACTCGTTGACTCGTCAAGCGACTCGAGTGCGGAAGGTGGAACTGCGAACTCAGATGCTAAAATCGGACGTAGAGCTACCGACGTGCCTGATAAGGTTTAAGCAGGAACTCTAAAACAGAGATCAGAACTTCAATACATTAAGAAAACAACAGAGGATTAGTTTGAAGTTCATATCATTTCTTCTATCTTTCCCGAAGCTACAGTAAGTCGAATATAAAGAAGGAACGGGATGACAGGAGCCGTTAGCCATCAACGGCTGTGATAGACTTGCAGGAATCAAAGGGTGAGCAGAGCAGCAGTACACAGGCTGCAGACGGTAGTGGCTTGGAAACGAACAATAAGCACGCCGACTGCTTGATACGATAATAAACATATCAAGATGGCTTATCATCCCCCCTCAAAGTAACTGGTGCGGAGCAGATAGTTAGTTTGTCTCTAAGAAACGCAAATCTGTTGGCTCCAAGTGCTTTTGTGAATATATCAGCTGGTTGATCCATCGTGGATATGTGATGAACTGAAATATAATTTGACCGAATACAGTCTCTGATAAAATGAAAATCGATCTCGATATGCTTAGTACGAGCATGAAAGATGGGATTATTGGCTAATGCTAAGGCGGATACATTATCACAGTAAAGCTTTGTAGAATCAGGAAGTTCAACTTGAAATTCAGTGAGGATACGTCGGAGCCAGATAATGTCACATGCTGCAGTGGAAAGAGCCCGATACTCTGCTTCGGTGGAAGACCGGGCAACCGAAGATTGCTTTTTAACAATCCAGGAAATAAGAGTGTCACCAAGAAATGCACAATAACCCGTAATTGACCGTCGATCAGTTTTATCTGTTGCCCAGTCGGAATCAGCAAATGCAGTTAACTGCAGATTAGATTTGTAAATGGGTAAACCAAGTGTGAGCGATCCCTGAACATAGCGCAGAACCCGTTTTAAGATAAGGAAGTTTGTGTTGTAAGGCTGATGCATATGCTGAGATAGGTAATTAACAGCAAAGAGGAGGTCGGGATGGGTGATTGTGAGATACTGTAATGAGCCAACCAGCTTTCGGTAAAACTCAGGCTTATCATACAATGCATCAGTCATATCAGGTGTAGGTAGTGGGGAAGGAAGTTGTGTCGCGACTGGTTTGCAGTGAGACATGGCGGCACGTTGTAAAATGTCTTTCGCATACTGGGATTGATTCAAATGCAGCCCAGAGGCTGTGCGACAGACTTGCAGGCCGAGAAACTGATGCAAGTGTCCGAGGTTGCGCATGGAGAATTCTGACTGAAGTGCAGCAACCAATTTATACAGCTCAGTTTGAGAATTACCGGTTAAAATGATGTCGTCAACATAAATGATCATATATAGTTGAGTAGAACCCTTATGCAATAGGAAGAGGGAAGGATCGGCGGAGCTTGTTTTAAAACCATATGTAGACATATAAGAAGACAATGTGGCAAACCATTCTCTCGGTGATTGCTTCAATCCATAGATAGATTTTTTGAGTAAGCAGACATGGTTAGGGTACTGTGAATCAACAAAACCCGCAGGTTGTTTCATGTGGATGACTTCCTTGAGTGTTCCATGCAAGAATGCATTAGATACATCCAATTGAATAATTGGCCAACCACGGTTGATAGCAACCGTGAGGAAAACCCGGATTGTAGCAAATTTGGCTACAGGGCTAAATGTCTCATGATAATCAAGACCATGCTCTTGTTTGAATCCCTGAGCAACAAGCCTCGCTTTGTAGCGAGCAATAGATCCGTCGGCATTATACTTGGTTTT